AGAGAAACTGCTAATTAATTTTGGAACAAAAGCTGCAAACTTAAAGCTATTAAGCTGGGGGGAGAGCGTAAAACAAAGTGGCCTCACTGTGGTCCCTGCATCTTGTTGCTTAGACCATGCGTATATTTGTACCTTCACTTACCTGGGACAGGGTTCAGGATCACAGAAGGGGTGTATTTTCCAAATAAAGCTGTTTAGATAATCACAGTTTTAACAAAGACAATCCCTCATGTCTGTAGAGTACATTCTCCACGATGCTGCCAGGGTTGCTTAACTAAGTTACTAAGACCAGCTCTTAGCAGGTCACCAGCCTGCTTAGAAACCTTTGATGAGTCTCCATTGCCTGTATGATCAAGCCCAAACTCCTTAGTGCAGCATTTCAAAGGCCTTCCCTTACCTAAGCTCAACCTACCCATCCTTTCCCTGCTTCAGCCCCAGGCTGACAAGCAGAGGCTGTTTCTTGCCTTTCTTAGTGGCCTCATGCATTCCAGTAGTTGACTCTAGTAGTTGACCAGACCTACCCCGGGCTGCACTTGTCTAGAGCATCATGTGTGTTCCTTTTAACTCCACCAGCAGACTCAGTTTCCATAATTTCCCTCCATTAGATTCTATGTCTTCCAGGGAACTGGTTCCCATGTCTGGCTGAGCACCAAGGTCTCCAGAGTATTTTGATTAAAAACACAATTCCAGAATCCCACACCAGACCAATAGAATTAGTCTCTCAGAGTAGGGCCTAGAGGTCTGTGAATTTAAAACAGTTTTCTCATCAATTGGGGCTGGTAAGCAGGCTTGGGACCACCACTCTAGGGTGAGCTATGCATTTTCCATGGGACCAGACTGCTGTCAGCCAGGTGGAACACAGAGAAAGATGGAGGCAGAGAACTCAGACACACTAAGGACCCCCTCTGGGGCTTGTACTAAGACATGTGAACCTGCCATCTGGAAAGACAGTGGTAGGCTGGTTGCTTCACCAGAAACCCAAAGCCCAGGAGGCTAGTTAGCAGGTCCACGGTTCTCACTGCTTAGTAATTTGGCTGTTGATAGAACCAGCTCAGCTCCTCCTAAGGGTTCATATTCTCTTTCTTTAGCCCATATTAAGTAAGCGTTGGTTAAGATAAATGAACACCTACTATGTTTTTAGATGCTTCATGTCTCATTGCATCCAACCAACCTGAATTTATCATGGTGACCACAGAAGCCACCTCCTAATTCAGCTCTAACCATCTCCTGTCATCTCTCAAATCTATTTTCCTGCTGTAGCCAAGTGATCATTTAAACTTGAAAAACCTGCCAAAGCTACTCTGTTCATGGTCCATTTTGCCACATAAAAGATTTTCATTTTCATATAGACAAATATGTCTATTTTTTCCTTTATAGCTTCAAGCATTTTAGACTTGATAATGAGTATTTAATGAACCTGCCCTGCCCTGCCCTGCCCTCTGGATTTCTAATGAGAATGACAATCCAGGACTTTAAATTTTTAAAATGTCTAGATGGCTTATGCACTTTAACATGAAAGGCTGATTTTAGAAAAATAAGCAATGGGGTGGGACTTGCGGGGTATATCAGAAGCTCTGTTGGGAGAGTGATCGCTTAGCATGCTGGAAGCTCTGGGTTTAATCCGAAGCACAGCATAAGTGGGACTTGGTTGTGCTTGCCTATAATCCTCTCACTGGGGAGGCAGAGGCAGGCCTGAAACTCAAAGTTGCTCTTTGCTACATAGCAGGTCAACCCAGGCCACAATGAGACCCTGTCTCAAAACAATTCAAAACAAGACAAAATGATCGGTGGGCATAAGTAAGCATTTTGTAGATGAGAAAAATCAATTTTTGTTTGTAATCAATAAACAAATGAAATGCCACCCCCCCTGCCCCCGGTCACCAGAGGTTGAAGAAACAATGGGGTGTCACTTTCTATCTCTCAGATCAGAAAAATCCTAAATAGCACTAACACTCAGAAACCACTGTTTCAAATGGAAATTTCTCCAAATTTTCATAATTTCAAAAGTAAAATCCATTAATGCTGTTTATTTGTACTTCCCATCCTGGGGAATCTGGTTTTCAGTACAAAAACACTGGTTAGCAAAAAGGACCCACGGGTGAGATTTTCACTGCTGTACTGTTCAAATGGCAAAGTCTTGGAATTGAAGTGACTGTCCAGCTCTAAAAAAATTGTCCACTTTAGCATGAACACCCACATCAGGGTACGACATGGCCCTATTACACTTGTGAATTGGGGCTCCATTGACCTGGAAGCATTCGTTTGAGCTGACTGAAGGAAGCAAGATGTGAGAAGGTGGAATATGTTCACAGAAAATATTTGTACCAAGTCTTTTAGTTGCAAATTGTATGTATGTGCATGTGTGTGTATGTGTTCATGGTTACGTTAATGTGCAGGAAAGTATTGGAAGTTATTAACATAGGCTGCTAGGACGTGACCGTCAGTGGTGGCAGGGAACACAGCAGATACGGAAGGAGCAAGCCAAGACAACCAAGGACAAAGGAGAAAAGGTTAGGAGAAAATTGCAGAATTCAGGAGGCAGAGGCAGAGGCAGGTGGATCTCTGTGAAGTTTGAGGCCAGTATGGTCTACACAGAGAGTTCCAGGCCAGTCAGGGTTACACAGTGAGACCCTGCCTCAAAAACAAAATAAAAACAAAAATCCAAAACCCCCAAACCAAAAACTAAACCACCCCCCAAACAAAGTATATCAACATATAGGTGTTACAGTTTGGATCTTGAGTTTCCTCCAAAGGCCTGTATGTTAAGGGGCTTTGTCTCTATCCCAGGACACTATTTTGAGAAGGCAGAATGTTTAGGAGGTGGCATCCAGTTGGAGGAAGTTAGGTCATTCTGGCATATCCTTGAAAGGGATATTGGTACCCAAGCCCCTTCACATCTCTCTCTTTTGCTGTGAGGGGAGACTACCTGTTCACAGTCTTTATTCATTTCTCTATTTCTTTTTTATTTTCACTCATTTGCAAAAGTCATGGTCTTCTTTTAAAAACATTCATGAAAGTTTGGGGAGATGACTTATTAGCAGAGTGCTTCCTGTGCAAGCATGGGGATCTGAGCTCAAACCCCGGAACCCATGTTAATCAAGTTAGGAAACAAAAAAGCATGAAAAATGAAAGAAAACATGTCATATGTGTTGGTTGGCAAGCAGATACAGAGAATTTTTATCCCAGTGCTTAGGAAGCCAATCAACATATACGATGTGATCATCTTTGTGCATCTTTGTGCATATATACACCTGTTTGCTTATCAGAAAATCTGAAAGAAGTTAGGCTGGATGTGGTGGTGTATCCGTGTAATCCAAGTGCTTGGGAGGTTGTAGTAGGATGATCAGAAGTTCAAGCTCACCAGTGGCTACAGAGGGAGTTCACGGTCAGCTTGGGCTGTGTGAGACCCCTGTCTCAAAACACACACACACACACACACACACACACACACACACCTGAAAAAACCAACAATGCATATATAAGCAATTAATTCTATTTAAAACTTGCCGGTGGTTATGGCCTTGTATATAAATCTGGATTCTTAAGCCTGTCTCTGGAGGCTCCTTCTCCCCTCTTCTCCCCCTCCTCATTCTCTGTTATAGACACACATTTCCTCTCTCCCCATGGATCCCCAACTCTCATCTGCATGGTCTCTCGCTTGTCCTTAATTCTCCACATGTGATGTTCCCTTTAGCCAAGGCACCCTCCCCTTCTTTTTCCCAGTATGATTCTTGTTTGCATTTATGTGCTGTATATATTTGGTGTATAATGTAATATCTTGGTGTGTACATACACAATGAAATTATCTTCACAGTTTAGGTCTCCATTTGATTGTCACTTTCTCAGAAGACTTCTCTTGAGCCCCTGATGTGGTCAGGTCTCCTGATGTTTATTCCCACTGTTCTCTGTCCTGACTAAAGTCTTACTTCATGATTATCTTCCTCTTCTGAGCTTTACTCAGCTTTTTCTTTTTTAAAAAATATTCAATTTATCATGTGTATGAGTATATTGCTTGCACACATTTCCTGTATTTCTGTATTTCTTTTTTATTCACTCATTTGCAAAAGTCAGGCTTGTGCAATGCCTGTGGAAGTCAAAAGAGGGTGTCAGATCCCTTGGAACTGGAGTTAGGATGGTTGTTAGCCACCATGTGGGTGCTGGGAATCGAACCCAGGTCTTTTGCAAGAGTAGCCAGTGCCCTTAACCACTGAGCCATCTCTCCAGCCCCTTCATTCAGCTTTTTCTAGCAGTAGTTTATAATTTATTGAATCCAAGTTGAATAAGAACCCACAGGAGACCCCCAGTACCACCCTTTAGATTTCACCATGGGGGATAATGGAAAGCTCCAGGCCTTCTTTCTTGCCACCCATGGCTCTCTCAGCCATGACAGGGTGCTAGTTTTCCAGAGGAAGCAGACTGGGCACCTCTAGCATCAGTGAAGACTGAGATGTCCTTTCTAGCACTATCTCAAATTGCCTGGTATACTACCGTGTTTTCTTTGGCCACTTGAGTTCCTTGGCCTCTCAGTCTGAGGGGTTCACCTGCTTCCCCTTGAGTGAGTTCTACACTCTATCTCCCTTTGTTGCTGTCCTGCCATATGACTCTCAGGCCAAGGAGACCCCATCTGTTTCATTGTAGAATGCCATCTCTCTGGCACTCGTGTTTCAGACCTTATAGGAGGCTAAGCAAGGGTAACTCTAAGTTCTAGAAAGTGTCTGAGGCTGATACTTTCTGTACCACCAAAGAACTGACCTAGACAAGTGTGCCAAGTTAACAGGGGGCAGGCAAGGTCGAGGGTGAGCAGTGGGGAGGGCGAGACAACCAGGACTATTGAGCAGTAGTCTATGCATACTGCCAGTGTCTAATAAACATGATTGGGAAAGTATGAAATCCAAAGGCACAGGGAGAGAAAACGAATTTAGTTCATTTTCAAACCACATTGTGAAATGACTAGCTTTACTAGTAACACTAGCTTTATTTCTGCAAGCAGTGGTATTTCTGTATGCACAAGAAAGGGGGAAAGGGATCAGGATTTGTGACCAATTTCTGGATGTGAGGAAGCCAGATTCCATCAAAGACGTTGCCTTAAGTAAGCTCGGAGAAAACACTCAGATTTCAAAGAGGGAGAATGGGGAACCAGATTGTGGGTCTTTGAAAACTGGAGTCTTTGAAAACTGGGGGGAGGGGGTGAGAACTCCAAGAGCTTTTTATACTAATCCAGGGTCACCCTGTTCTCTGTTTGCACAGGATTGAGTTGGATAACAGCTCCCATTAGCACTGGGGGAGGCTTCACATGTAAATCCCATCTCAAATGGGAGAGTAAGCGGGGAATGTCCTGCTTAGTAAGTCGACATATATTTTTAAAATTTTTTCTCCTGGAAAATGCCCTTGGTGGCTTGCCAGAAGCTCTCAGTCCGAGGGGTTCACCTGCTTCCCCTTGTCATCGGGATTGTCCAGCATCCTCAGCCTCTTCTCCAGTCTCTGCTTCCATTCTTCTCGCAGCCTGGGGAGGAGATAACACACATGCGGTTGGTCATTACATTTGTCTCTAGGTCTGCTGGCCCAGTTTTGCTTCTCGTGAATATTGTTCACAGAAGCCCATGACTTTTGTGAATGAATAAAGAGTAAAATGAGTGAAGACTGTGAATAGGTAGTCTCTCCTCAGATTTAATTTAGTCTTTCCAGATTAATACTGGACTCAATATAATGCCAATCAAAGTTCCAGTAATATGTTTTTGTAGCCAACAAGATGACCGCGTAGAAAAACTGCTGCCTGTACAGGGTCCCAGCTGCTTGGGAAGCTGAGGCAAGAGCGTTACATGGGCCCAAGAGATTGAAGCCAAACTGGGCAATACAGCAAGACTTCATCTGAATGAAATCAATCAATTTTATATGGAAAATGAAGAGAAGAAGTAGATTAGCCAAAACAATGTTGAAAAGAAATGAAGTTGGAGGATTTAAGTGACACAATTTTAAGACAATATAATACAGAGTTACCATCATTAAGACTGTGGCTTCAGGAAAGGAACAGGCAGATGGATCAGATATAAACACATACTGAGATGACAATTGATTTGTGATCTCTGCTCAGTTAAAGAATGGGAAGAGAGGATGAAGAGATTGCTTAGTGGTTAAAAGTACTTGCTGTTCTTGCAGAGGACTAGGGTTCAGTTCCCAGCACCCACAGTGGTGACTCACAATTGTCTGTAGCTCCAGTTCAAGGGGATCTGTCTCCTTTTCTAACCTCCATGGATACCGTATGCATGTGGTACACATAAATGCATGCAAACACTCATACACACAAAATAACAATAAATAAATCTTTTTTAAAATAGGAAGAAGCTGAGATACCTTAATTTTTCTATCTTATGAACAATCTTAAAATGAATACAATATTCATCATTCTTGTCATATCCCCATCTATTCTGTTTTCCTGAGAGAGATTCCCAGAGATGAAATGTTACATTTAATCAACCCAGTATTAATATCATGAAGGCTCTAGGCAACAAACTGGCTCCAGGGAAATGTCTTTATTTTATTTTTAAAAGGCACTCATTACTAGTAGTGTGTGTGTGTGTGTGTGTGTGTGTGTGTGTGTGTGTGCGTGCTCATATGCATGATGTGTATGACAATGTGAGTACACACATGTAGAGGTAAGCAGATAATTTTCAGAATTTGTTTCTCTCCTTCCACTTTTGGTTTCAAGGACTGAACTCAGGTCATCAGGCTTGAGTGGTAAGTGCGTTTACTTGCAGATCCATCCCACTGTCCTGTAGCTTCTTATTTAAAACTCTGCTCAACTGCTGGTCCAGGAAACCTAGAAAGAATCTGGAGGGTGGGTATGGTGTTTGGCAATGTCTGTTGCCAAAGCATGTTAACTACCAAGGTCTAAAAGCTGAGATGTGCACAGAACAAGGCAAGTGAGGGAATCTTGTCAGGACCCTCAACTTTGAATAAACGTCAGTGGTATAAGAAGGATTTGTCTGCTTGAAGAGGGAGGTGAAGCACGTAACCTCCACACACATGAAAATACATGAAAACTGCCTCCCTCAAGGTCCTGGTACACTGCCCACATCATTGGCCAGAAGACATTTGCTGAGTTCTATGACCTATTTTGACACCCATCTCTTGGGCATATTCATAGTTCTATTTCTCCCTTGTGTTTGTTACCTGACATTTTAATTGTAACCAAGCTCTCCAATCTGAGGACATGAGTTCATAGGCTCTTCTTGTCACACGTCTTTTTTTAAAAAATATTTTATTTATTATTTTTTTTTATTTTATGTGTATGAGTGTATTGCCTGCATGCATGTAAGAGCACCCGTGTAGTTCAGTGCCCACCAAGGACAGAAGAGGTCATCAGATCCCCTGGAACCGGAGTTACAGACAGTTGTTAGCTGCCATTGTCACATATCTTTGAAAGGCTCTGTAACAAACTCTCCCTCCAACTATGTGACTTCTGTCACCCAGGATCTCCTCAAGCTCACTGATGAGGCTGGCTGCCTGGGTGCTGCATTGAGCTTGATAGACTCCTTCACAGAGTTTGGCGTCACAAGGAGATTTAGCTTTCACCTGGTGTTTTGCTTGGTGTGGTAGCTATGGAAACATACCACTCAGATGGGGGAGTATGACTCATCTGTGGCTGTGGCTACCACAGCAATACGGGGGAACTCTATTGGGGTAGTGGTACAGATAGGTCTGCCTTAAGACCAGTGCCAAGGCCAGGCCTCTTGTAGGCTGCTCCCAGTCAGTGACTGAGCATCTCAGAGGCACTAATGCAGGCTCATTCCTGCAGCTGTACCATCTCTTTAACAGGTGGCCTTGGCTCAAAGCATCTCCTTCAGTATAAAGTTCATTCTGCTGTCTACCCAGTTTTCTCTCTCTCTCTCTCTCTCTCTCTCTCTCTCTCTCTCTCTCCCTCTCCATCATCTGATGACACTTGTTATATCATAACTCTGATTTTCTCTTGGTGGTATTCTGGAGCTGGCTTACCACTGTTGGGGCCAATTATGAATTTTTTCAGGGTATTTTTTGAGTTGATTAAATGTAGACAAAGTAAAGTTAAATTACAGAGATTTACATTAATTAAATTATGTTAAAACCAAAGATAATAAATAAAACTTTTCATTTCCTGTTTCAGTATTTGATAATAATCTGGGCCTACTGTATTTGTGTGGTGCTAATGGGTGATACTGCCAAACATCTCTTCTCAACTCATCTTCACTGACATCTCGAAATAGACTGTGGTAGGAACATTTATACCATTGAATTTGGCAAGCCCTATAAAAATGCAAGACTTGCTTCCCATTCCATTCATTGTCTGATGGACAAAGGATTGCTCTTCTGACCAAATCTGTCAGTCATCTATTTTTGTAAGTAAAGTTTCATTGGAATACAGCCTTGTTTATCTGTTTACCTATTCTGAATACACATTTCTGCTTTCACTCCATAATAGCAGAGTTAAGTTCAACACAGATCACTTGAGCTATTGTGCTCCAAAGATTTACTACCTTGTTCTTTTTTAAAAATCTATGTGCTGATCCCTTATCTAGATTTAAGAAAGGGATGGAAGAATTATAATAATGCAACTTGACTTAGAAGTGTGTCCTATTGGAGTTGGGGAGATGGCTCAGTAAAGCACCTGCTGAGCAAGCATGAGGACCCAAGTTCAGATCCCTATGTAAAAAGCTGGATGTGATGATGTATGCCTGTAATCCCAGGGCCTAGGAGGCAGAAACAGGCAGATCTAGCCAAATCAGTGAGCTACATATTCAGTGAGAGATCCAGTCTCAAAAAATAAGGTGGAGAACAATAAGAAGTACTGTGGTTTCTATTGCACACACAAGCACGCGTACCTACAGGTACATGTACACACCCACAAACACCCACAGAAGAAATGTGTCATGTATAGGTATCACATTATGAATAACAAAAAGAACTGACAGTCCATTTTCAGAACTAAACACTATTATGATCAAGGACACTACTTCTTGGCTGAGCTGGATGATAAATAAGCATTGATTTATTATTTGATTTGTTCAAATCTTAGTTCAATTGTAGGCATTGGTTGGCTACAGACACAAAAGGTTAGCAAAAACCTATTAGAAGCATATTGTGAGAATCAGTTTCTATGTGGAATTTTATAATGAAGGGCATTTTGCATTTTCTTGGTATTTGCAAGTTGTGTGTGATACAGATTTCTTATTGGTAAGATTTACAGTAAGCTAACACATGTATATACATGTGCACATTTCCCCCCAGAAAGCCAGGTGTGACATATTTATTATCATATCATAACTTCTTTCCCATTTCTCCTCTTACAGGGGTTTCCCCCAATGGATCTCTGGCACATCTAACCCTGGCCTCTTAGAGGACCCGGATCAACACATTAGGTATGATGAATCTATTCTAGGAGGATGGCTTTGGACTCTGGGATTCATGGCACATTTATTCACTTTTTATAGCAGCCATACCACTATTTATTGCCCACCAGTGAAGGCTTCAGGTCCCTATCTACCCAAATGACCTTTCAATCTTGGTTTATGAATATTTATATGGATCGCTGTTCTTTTTGGTCAATATCTTTCATCACTCTGCTGTTTCTGTTTAGTTTTGGGTTCTCAATAAACTGGTGACTAGAAATGCATAGATGGAGCTTTTATTTTCAATAAGGAGGTCAGGATGAGGAAGACAGTGTACAACAATGAATGCAGAGGGGCTGGAGAGATGGCTCAGTGGTTAAGAGTGCTTGCTGCTTTACCAGAGGGCCCAAGTTCAGTTCCCAGCAGCCATGTCAGGCAATTCACAGCTGCCCGTAACTCTAGCTCCAGGGGTTCTGATGCCCTCATCTGGCCTCCACGGGCACCTGCACATGTACACACACTTTCACATGCTGTTACTATCCACACTGTTACTATCAATGACATGGCTTCTTGGCTGAGTCGAATAATAAACAAGCATGGATTTGCTGTTTGATTTGGTCAGACTTAGTCCAATTGCAGCCATTGGTTGTCTACAGACATAAAAGGTTGGCAAAAACCTATCCGAGGCATACTGTGAGCATCAGCTTCTCTGTGAACGTACATGAAAGGAGGCATACAGCTGGTATTAAGGCTCCAAAAGAATGTTTTCACCTGCAGCCTAGAAATGATGGTCTCACTTTTCAAATGGAGACCTCATCATGTTTGTTACTTATTGTTCTAGATTCTTCTGTGTTGTGTGGGGTGGCAGGTAGTATCTGGGTACTCAGACTCTCCTTGATTAGATTGGGGTTTAACTAGACAGCAGGTAGTATCTGTGAGAATCACAGTATGTTTGCTGGGAGGCAGTGAGGACCAACTGGGTCCAGGGTTGGACGTTTTGTGTCCTATGCTTGGCATTATGCATCTTGGTTGGGATTGTACCAGAAGCAGATTTAGGGGAAGGAACTGGAAAATAGAGGGAGAGGGAACTGAAGTGTTCAGAGAGAACTCTTAGCCTTCCCTGCTAGTCCAAATCTGTGAC